AACATTAAACACTGGTCTGGGTGTGATACTCTGGTGCTGGAGGTTGTGATTTTGAGCAAACTGGATGTTGATATAATTCTCCATTGCTCCTGTGCCAACAAATGCCTCAGTGGTGACGGGTTTGGCATAGGTTTTCAATATGCAGGGCAAATAAATAGATTTATAAGCTAATCTTGCCTGATATAAATAATCCTTAGTGCCAGTACTTCAATTCAATGTCATGGCAATTGAAGACTTCAAAAATCCTTCTCAGAGTATATAGCCTGAATGTATTCTTCAGCTATCCCTTCCTCATCAGAGGAATCCTTGATATCATCCTTCTCCTGAATGGGTGTGTCATGTGATTCAATTGCTCTGATGCAATTATTTGGGCATTGGCGGCTTTGATGCCCAGGCTTGTGACATCTGAAACATAACTTCTTCTCCATGTGTTCCTTGTGATCTTTGTCTGACAGACATCTGATCCACTGATCATCAGATGATACTTCCTTTGATGATCCATCCCTGGTCTCAACTGCCCGATTACAAAGTATGAACTTGTTACAACCAAAAGAGCGGTTGGTAGATGTCATGAATAAGGGTTTGTCACCAAAGATGTTGATCATAGATTGGCAGATAGATTGAACACTGTTGAGGTATCCTACCACTGTGACTGGTAGCGGTGGTTGGGCGGCAATCTTGATCAGAAGAGCAGGAGGTATAAGACGCTGGAGTTCTCAAATTTGTCCTAATTTGTTTAATCCACTGGCTTGAAAGAGAGGTTGAAGAGTTGTGACAAATCAAAGACCATTTCCTCCACACTTTACCCAGGTGCACTTGCTGATCTTATTTAGCACTGCCTGAGTGTCATCTTCTACTCCAAAGGTCTGGATGAAGGACTTTCTGAAGTTTGCCCAACTAGGCAATCCTTTGAGGGGAGCGTCTCCTGAATCAGATATGGGTTCTTCCGCATCAGTGATGATGGTATGGATGAAGAATTGGGCAGGTCCTTTGATATATGAAAGAGCGCATTGAACCTTATCCTTATCGGTTTGGATCTTCTTGGAGTTTCCTGCAAAGTACAAATATAATTTGTCTAGAAATTCTTTGCTCTTTCCCTTGTCTCCTTCGAATTGGTTAGGCTTGTTTACCACTCCGCTGTTGTTGTCAGACATATCTCCTTCATCTTCCTGATCACTAGGTTCTGGATCACCGTCTTCTGGGTTGTTCGGGTGTTGGTCAGCAGGGCCTTCTTCTGGGTTGGGATTGACTGGAGATCTGGGTGGTTCTGGTTTGGGTTCTGTTGGAACAGGAACTGGGTGTTGTTCCTCTACTGGGACTGGGGGGTTGACCAGTTCTGGTGAATCAAAGATTCCTGAGAAGAAACTGGGTCTGACTGTAGGACTGGTGTCTGTCGATTCACTTGGCAAAGGTTTGGTGGTTAACTGAAGTGGCGATGTACAGGGTGTAGGAGCTACTATACTTCTACTGGATGATGCTGCAGTAGGAGTTAGGCATGATGGTACAGGAGAAGACTTTTCTGCTAGCGGGGGTACTACAGTGTGTCAATCTTCTTTGCTTCCAATGGGAGCTAGGAGCGCTGTTAGGGTAGGGATAGTCTTATCTCTTTTCCTATTTGGACACAATGAATTGGCACAGTACTGCCAAGAAGATCCGTTATTCCACTGATTGGTTCTTTCGTTTCTGTTGTAGGCGTGGGTTTCATTGAAGCAAAGGAGTTTCCTTGCATGGGACCTGGTTACTGCTGGTTGTCTCACTGCTGTAGAAGCCACTGTGGCTTGCTGCGACCAGGAACTAGTGATCCTAGAAGAGTTTTGTCCTAATGACAAGGGACCTGACAACTGAGGATCAGGAGTTCCACTTAAGACTACTACTGACAAAAGGTACTGCTATGCATGAGGCTAACGCGCTATACTAGAACTAGACTTTAGAGATTGAGCCACTGCAACTGGCAGTGGTTTGAGAGCGTATACCAGTTGAAGCAAAGCTTCAGACCAAGACTGGAATAGATGACTGAGTCTATTACTGAGGACTGTCCCTATGAAGGTATGTAGGGAACAAGAGGACAAAACTGAAGTAGAGTAGTGGAAGTAGTGCTACTTAAATAGAGCAGGAATAGAGTTTAATAAGTATGAAACACTGAGTTGGATCAGCGATGTACATGAAACAGGTTTCACTGGGTTGTATCAGTGATGAGGATGAAACGTGATGGAGATGAAACGTGATGTAAGTATCATGATATAGGTGAAACATGATAGATATGAAACACTGATGTAGGTGAAACACATCAGGTGATGGGATCAGTCATACAGTTACAGGGTCAATGACAAATAGTTAGGAAAAGAAAAAGAATCCCCCCTCTCACACTGTAATATTACCCCCCTCTCCAGATTCATCGTTCACAGTTTCCATTGAGCACAACGCTCCTGTAAGTACCCAGGTACATCAGTGGGACAGGGAAGTTGTCCAGGTTGAATATTGGCGGCGGTGCGGAATTTGTGTCGAGGGTGCAGGAGTCTGCAGTAGGAGCATAACCAATGCCAACACTCACTCTGAAGGTGACCATCGGTCTTGCATTTAGTACAAAAACGAAGACGGCGGGGCATGGCGCCAGAAGGGGGAGTGATGATGGAGAACTCATGTTGTTTGAGTTGTTCCTCCAAGTTGGCGGCTCTGAGGCATGCTCGGCACTGGTCCATCTCTCCTTGTGTGCAGTGATAGGCCCGCATAGCGCATGGGCGCGCCTCGAGTCGTACTCAACATTCGAAGCACTTGAAGCTTCCACCTTCGGGGACAACTGCGATACCTCGACACAAACACACCTTCAAGGAAAGCCTGTACTTCGACATCTTCAAAGTTTAGCGATCTCACGACGATCCGATCGGGATCTTTCGGTGGCGGCTTTATTCCAGGGGCTCGACTTCGAAGACGAAACCCCATCATCCAGAGATTGAGACATACAATACAGGGCCGACAGGTAAACCTTTAAGTCGATGCGCTTGGGTCGCAACGCCAAGACTCGCAACGGTCGGGCCTCTGAGACTAGCAGGAATAGCACAGTGGATGGGAATCAGAAACTGATAGAGACGTCAGGCGGGAGTAGGAAGGATATCGGGATTGTTTGGCACGGTCAGGGCAGTGGAGGCGGTGACTCAGGAGGTTCGGCAGGATGAGGGATATTTAAGAGTGGTTTTGCATGATTGTAAGCCAGTACTTGGCCCCTAGTAGCAAGACTTGTGCAGAATCACATCCCTCACTCAGCAGAGCTCAGTCCAGCTTTGAACTTGCTTTTGAAGTGTTGCGTCTCCCTATGAACTACAACTACAACCCTCCGAACTACGTCTGCGACCTTCGAACTATGTCTGCAACCTTCGTCTACAACCAGTACCCCCCTTTGAAGCACACCTACGTGTACAGCTAAGTCCTCTGAAGTTCCGTTCTTGCGCCTGACCTTCAAACAGGACTCATGTATCCGTGCTTGAATTGCACTTTGCCTTCACGTTGTTGAGCCAGCTCCCCTCTTACCTTCCCTCCACTTCTACGAGAAGTCGGAGTGTTTGGACGGTCCGAAACAGTCTCATGACACCGTCCCGAGAAAGTCTAGTGAAGTCGTTGCCATTCGAGTGAGCTATCACAACTACAAGCCCTCACCCTCATCAGCTTCCCCGAGAAACAGAAACTCACCCTTTACTTCACACCCCCAAGTTAGGGTTAGGTTTCCCGAGGTCACATCAGCAGATGAGTTCTGCTCCTACAGATCATTGCGCCACAAGTAGGAGGTCTATCTTGGCGTCCACAGCCCTGAAGCGATCAACTTCATTGGTAACTCCAGCGTCCTTGATATCTTGGAGCGATGCCCAAAGGCTTTCCAACAGATTGTCGTCTCGCATCAGCAAATATTCCCAAGTGTCCTCCTCCCATTCCTTGTCCGAACAGTTCCAATTTCCTACTGGTTCCATAGTATGAAGTACATCTGCTGCTGTTGTTGAAACCTGTCATAACCCAAACGCAGGATTACCATCAATGGGAACACCCATAGGAGGTCGAGTGATGGTGGTAGTGTATGCTCCGGGAAAGTAGGGCAATGCGCATCCCAAGGGGTCAACATCTTGAGCTGGGGTGGAGGTGTCAAAGGGAATGGACCGCCAGTATTGGGTGACATCATTGGAGGGCCATTGAATTATGTCATCACTGTAGACCACAAACTCTTGGGGATCGCTGCTGTATCCTTCCGATGCCGTAATGTACTTGCTGATATTGGCTAGTAGTTGTAGATTGGGAGCGTGATCGAGACTGCCATTGTCAGAGATGTCGGAGGCGAGAGGTGGCATATTGGGGAAATCAGTAGATGCAGCGAGGGGACTGTCAGGGTTTGGAGAGGATGAGGTGTTCATAGGTGACGAGGAGGAGAAGACCTGTGTAGGGGCAACGTGGTAAGATCCAGTGGTTGCTTCCGATGTCTGAGGAATCTCCAGGGGTCCAGGAAACTGGTGCAAGACTACCGCATCACTATTGGAGAAGTCCAATGTCCTGGAATTAGGAAGGGACGGCGAGTGACGTTTGGCAGGAGGGGTGTGAGCAGATAATGGAAACCTCCCTCATCAAGAAATTCCAGAGAAGAATCATCTGACTCCTGTTGGGAAGGGAAGCTTAAGATAGGACGCCTAGGAACTGGCATTTCTATAACCCCAGCTGTGAAATGTTCTTCTAGTGCCTGGAGGTGGGAAGGGTAGGGAGTTGGCACTCTTTGGGGACCAGTCGCTGGAGAATTGTCGCACCTAGGAGCCAAAGGGCGACGGCGCGGGTCCTGATTAGAAGTCTCATTGTTGTTTCTTGTGCGGTTATTATGCTCAGCAGGCATGAGGGAAAGCAGAAAAGAAATTTTTCTTGAGAAAACAAGACCCAGAATACAAAAGGAACCAAGTACTATAGACAAAACCAAGCCCCAGGTACTAATCTTGGTGCTCCCTGATATACTCAAAATAAACCTGAGTGGGGTTATTTGAGTCTCAGTTAGTGGTGATTACCGGAAGGGCAGTGGTTGCATGTGGGAGGGGGTGTTGGGCCGTGGCGGTGATATGTCTACGGAGTTCCTAACCCTAAAATAACCTAAAAGGGG